GTGAGTAGTGCCTGCCTCCCCAGCCTCCCACCCGTCGACGACCATCTGACAGTCCGTGCAAATCGAGATCGTGGGGCCCATGAACGACAGGGCCATAAAAAAGGCGAAAAGCTCTGCACTAGGAACGTCCTGCACTGGAAGCGGTGACGGCCCGTACGCAATGGCCTCCACCTCCAGCATAGAAGAAACAGATACTACTGCCCATCCTGCTCTGACCAACCATCGGTAGTCATTGTCGTATCCAGAACCATCAACACAAACATATGGCCCCAGGGTTCCATCACGGTGAGGAGGATGGGCCCACTTAAATTCAGCTCCGTGCAAAATCTTCGGGATGGACTCGCGGTCGCTGGGCACCAAAGCTCTCGTCCATCTAAGATCTGCCTGGGCGTTGATCCCTTGCTGCAGCAGGCGTCCCCCTGGGTCGAGATCACGCCGTAAAAGCCAGGAGCCGTCACAGCCCCATAACCTGTGGTGCACAGACCCTTCTCGGGCCTTGCACCATCTGCAAAGCGGGTCCAAGCTGTATCGCTGCTTGAACAAGTCTTTCTGCGTCCAGAGGCCTCCAGAAACCTGAGCGATAAGAAGGCTGATCCCAAGATGGTCCCCTCTCTTTCTCTGCTCTGCAATAACACCTCTGATCGGTTCCAGGAAAGGCTCCCAAGACAGGTCGTAAAACTCGCTAACCTTCTTTAAACTGAGCTGCTCCGTGGTGTCGTCTACGAGGGCCTTGATCGTTCGAGGACCCAACTCGCGCAAGTCCAGGCGAAGCCCCGACGAAGTGACCCAACTGCACCAGGAGGTCCCTGTCCAGCCCAGCCTACTCAGAGTCTGTACCACCGCTCCAGCGGGGCCAATGACTCCACTCCAGCCTCGAGCACCTTCTTTCTTGGCCTTGTCACCTCCTCCTCCTCCTCCTCCTCCTCCTCCCTCCCAACCCAACCCGAAGGCCTCCATTTGCCCTCCATTTCCAGCGGGGGGGGGCTCCGCCGCTCGCCTTGCGGATTACTTCCGCCTGGAGGGCGGTGCAGCGCGAGCTTGGGCGTCGGCCGTGCATTTTTCCCATATCTGCTGGCGCACCGTCTGGTGCAAGGCTTCTGACTGACTGACTTCCGGTTGGGGGGGGGTCAGGAAACAGGAAAAACACATAGAACTTGTACCCCCCCACTTCGGGTTGGGTTGAGTAGGACAACGGAAAGTGACATAAACATGAAAACCCGGAGGTCCGCGCGGATTTCTCGGATCGGCGCTGGGGCCCCCCGGCGGCGCCTCCGGCGCCGCCCTTGGCGCGCTCCGCGCGCCAGGGAGGGGGGTCCAGCGCCGATCCGAGAAATCCGCGTGGACCTCCGAGTTTTTATGTTTATGTCACTTTTTGTTTCCCTATTGGGGTGGCCTGGTAGGTATAGTCCGCCAGGCCGGATGGGCGGAGAGCGCCGGCAGCGGCGAGGCCCTCACCTCGATGCCGATCTTAGGGATCCCCTCAGTTTCTGAGGGCCTATCCCTGAGATTGTCCTCGCTTTTTGCTCGCCCAACCTAGGGGTAGGGATCAGTTCGAGGCTGGTTCAGGCAGCCAGCCAGGCCAGAGGGCGGAGCGCCCGCAGCGGCGAGGCCCCGCCTCGCCCGCCCGCCGCGGCCGCGACGGGGCGGAGCAGCCCGGCCCCCCTCCCCGCCGGGGCACGGCCGCCCGCGGGGGGGGGGCGGGGGCGGGGCCGAGGGCGCGCGGCAGGCCTGGCGGGAAGGCAGGGGGGAGAGAAGCGCACGTGCACAAGCCAGCGTCGACTCCCAGGAAGAAAGGTGGGAACATCTGGGAAGATTGGGGGGGAGAGGGAAACCAAGATAGAGGGAAACCTGTTGTTAGTGTTGCTTGTGCGTCCCAGGGCCCCTTCAGGAAGGCAGGGGCCCGGCGAGGCGGCGGCAGGGCGAGGCGCGGGGCCGCGGTGAGAGGACATGGAGCAGCACAGACGAGATCATGCTGCCTCCTGGGCGTCGCTCGGACGTGTGCATATTTCCTTCGGCGAGGACCATCGAGGAGCATCCTTGATCATTTGGCGAAAAAACCACGCACAACACCGACAAAAAGCACAGGGAATGGACGTCCAAGCGATGGCCAGCCTCTCCCGCGCTCGGTCTCGACGCTGCCCCCGCAGACTTCCCGCGGGGCCCGCCCCTCGACGGCGGCGTCGACATCGGCGCGCGCGCGACGAACGGCAAGCACCCCTGACGAACGAACAGCACACACCCATACCCATAGGGAGGTCGTTGGGAGGAGGACTGGCTATGGGTATGGGTGCGGGTTGTCGGACCCTGGGGAACGCTCCCGTTCGAGCGGGGACCCCCATCCGACAACACGCACCCATAGCCCTCTCCGATCTCCCTGTGTGTGTGTGTGTGTGCGTGTGTGTATGTGTGTCTGTGTGTCTGTGTGTGTGCGTGTGTGCGTGTGTGTGTGTGCGTGTGGTGTGCGTGTGCGTGTGCGTGTGCGTGTGCGTGTGCGTGTGCGTGTGTGCGTGTGCGTGTGTGTGCGTGTGCGTGTGCGTGTGCGTGTGTGTGTGCGTGTGCGTGTGCGTGTGCGTGTGCGTGTGCGTGTGCGTGTGCGTGTGCGTGTGCGTGTGCGTGTGCGTGTGCGTGCGCGTGTGCGTGTGCGTGTGCGTGTGCGTGTGCGCGTGTGTGTGTGTGTGTGTGTGTGTGTGTGTGTGCGTGTGTGTGTGTGTGTGTGTGTGTGTGTGTGTGTTGTTGGTTCGTCAACCCCGTCATCGACGCCATATCTCTCGAGCCCGAGGGCTGCATGAGCACGCTCGACGAGCCGCGCGGGAGCAGCGGGGGCCCATGGACCAGCCGAGGCCGGTGGAGGTCGGGTCGCCAGCTCCGCCCTGAGGCCTCGCCGCGCTCGAGGCGTCCCAGACGCGCGACGTCGGAGGCCACCTGAAGACGGAGATCGGCGTGCACGCGGAGAGAGCGCGGCCCGCGGACGAGGAGAAGCTCGGGGTCGAGGCTTCGAAGGACGACCTGCAGCTCGCCATCAGCACCATCAGGCTGGAGAGCTGCTTCGACACGGAGAAGATGAAGCTCGTGATCGGGGCTCCACAAGGCCGCTCACTCATCCAGCGGCCGCTCGCGTTGGAGGGGAAGTCGGTCCACCGCCGCGGGGTGGCGCCAGCGGGGTTGCTCGAGGAGGAGGTGGCTCACTGGCTGCAGACGCTAGAACAGCAAGGCCAGTCAAGTTTTTTCGAGGTGAGCCCCCCCCTGCCAGCAGCAGCGCCGCCAGCGTCGCGCATGCCCCCACGGCCTCTGCACTCGCGCCTCGGGCTCTGCCAGCGCAGGGCGAGGACAACTTTAGTCAATTCCAGGAGGCCGCGATCCATGGGCATTTTCTAACGACACAGCCGCTGCGGATGAGGCCTCAGCATTCCTGCGCGGACAGCCGTCATCATCGCCCGACCGCCCGAGGCAGCGCAGCGCAGCCCCCTTGTGCCGGCACCTTCCAGACGTGGCCCTGCGCGGGGCATCTCGAGACAGCAGGCTCTCTGCGACGGACCAATATTTTCTTCAAGCTTGTGACGCCCCCAGTTTTGCCCTGTCGTCGGGAAAAGGTGGCGGTGATGATGATGATGATGATGATGATGATGATGATGATGATGATCATGATGCTGATGATGATGAGGAGGATGAGGATGAGGATGAGGATGATGATGATGGCGATGGTGGTGATGCTGATGTTGGTTGCGATGGTGCGAAGGCTGGTGATGATGGTTATGCTGGTGGTGATGATAAGGAGGGTGGGGGAGGACAAGGAGGAGGAGGTGGAGGAGGGATGCCGAGTCGCCGGCGGCAGGGAAGAAAGAGTCAGAGCAGCGGGGAATAAATAACTGGTGATGATGATACTGATGCTTGATGAGGTTGCTGATTATGATGCTGATACTGCGCAAAATGATGATGCTGATGATGGTGGTGGTGGTGTTGGTGATGGTGGTGGTGATGATATTGGTAGGGATGTGGATGGCGCTGACGATGGCGACTGTGCTTATGATGACTAGGATGATGATGATGGCGATGATGATAACGTCGCGGATGCTGATGCTGATGATGGTGATGGTATTGATGGTGATGCTGGTGGGGCAACAGAAGATGATGATGATGATGATGATGATGATGTTGAGGATCATGATGATGATGATGGTGATGTGCGTGATGATGATGCTATTGCTGATGATGGTGCTGATCGTGGTGGTGATGATGTTGATGATGGTGGTGGTGGCTACGGTGGCGGTGGTGATGTCGATGAACGTGGATGTTGATTATGATGGTTGTGGTGATTATGGGGGGGGAAGGGGGGAAGAGGAGGAGGAGGAGGCCAATACGATTGCTGCTGATGAGTGGGAGGAGGAAAAAAGGCAACCGATGATGATGATGCTGATGATGGTGCTGACGATGCTGATGTTGATGCTGATGATAGAGATGATGCTGATGTTGATCATGCTGATGATGCTGATGATGTTGGCGATGGTGATGATGATGCTGATGTTGATCATGGTGTCGATTGTGATGTTGGTGGTGTTGCTGGTTATGCTGACGAACATGGTGATATTGATGATGATGATGACGATGACGACGATGACGGTGACGATGTTGAGGGTACTGGTGGTGATGCTGTTGCTCATGATGTTTATGATGAGATTGGCGATGGTGTTGATGCTGATGCTGGTGGCAGTGGTGATGGTGATGGTTGTGCTGATGGTGCTGCTGCTGATGATGATGCTGCTGCTGATGATGATGGTAACGACGAGTGGTGACGGCAATGGTGTTGTTGATGATGCGGGGAAGTGGGGGGGGGAGTAGGGGGTGGAGGAAGAGGATTAGGACAGCTAGGACAAGGTGGGAGAAGGAGGGGGAAGGTAAGGAAGAGTTTGAGGAGGGGAAGGCGGGGCGCGAGGAGGAGGATTACCAGGGGGCGAAACATGAATATGAGGGGGAGGGGTCCACTCCCTCATTCGTGCCCGCAGGCTCACTTTGGAGCGGTTGGAGGACCGCTGTCGGGACTACGTGATGTCCAAGATAGCCACCATGTTGCAAGGCGGGTTGGATTGGGCACCGAGTCGTTCCTGCTCGTGCTTCTCCTGCTCATCTTCGTTCTGCTTCAGCTTGTCCTCGTTATCCTCTTCGTCCCCCGTCTCAGCCTCCCTCTCCTCCCCCTCCTTCTCCTCATTCTCCTCCACCACCTCCTCATCCCCCTCCTCCTTCACTCCCCCCTCTTCCCTCCACCCGTCGCTCTTATCCAGCTCCCTTCTATGTTGACCCTCCTGTAGTTTCCCTCGTCAAGCCTTCCTGGTCAATCCCTCCCCATGCCGTCCCTTGTTGCATCCCTCTTTCCTCCCTCATCTTAGCTCTTTCTGAGGGCCAGGGGGCTGGCGTGTGAACCAACGTCCTAAGCCTGCACCTGCTCCGCTGTCCCACCTGCGGGGCGAATGCAGGGGGGGGGATAGGGGGGGCGGGGCGAATGCAGGGGGGGACGGAAGGGGGGGCGGGGGGGGGGACGTTTGAGCGAGAAGGCGGGATGGTGTGACATGGGGGAGGGGGGAAGGGGGGGGGAGGGAAGCAGGGCAAGGGGTAGTTACAGGGAGGGGGGCCAGACGGTCGGGGGATGGATACGATGGAGGAGCCGGACGGCGAACTGAGAGAAGGAGTGACATGCACGCTCGGCTTCTGCATTAGTCCTTCGGCGCAGAACGAGGTCGTGAAAGGCGAAGCGCAACTTTGCTTCTCCACATCAGCATCTATTCACGTGTGCTCCCCACGTCCAAAGCGGCGATCTGGTTTTCTCTGGGCACTCCGCGCAGGAACACACCCACACACCGTCGTCATAACCATCACCACCACCACAATCGTGTCCATCATCATCAGCGGCAGCATCATCCTCGTCATCGTCATCATCGTAATCATCATCATCATCACCACCATCATCAGCATCACAATCATCAGCATCAGGATCCTATTCATCGTCGTCGTCATCATCACCATCATCAGCATCATCGTCATCGTCATCACCACCACTATCATCATCATCATCCTCATCCTCATCCTCATCCTCATCCTCATCATTACCATCACCATCACCATCACCATCATCACGTTTACCATCATTGTCAGCATTAGCATCGCCATCACCATCACCATCACCATCACCATCACTTACTCACTCATTTGCCCCGTCTGTCCTCCTCTCCCCTCGCACACTCCCCATCACCATCACCACCACCCTCACTCATCATCAAGCCCCTTCACTCACTCACTCGCACGGGCCAACTCAGCATCATCATTGTCGCAAGCCTCATCCCCACCATCATCATACTCACCGTCAGCATAATCATCATCCTCATCATCATCACCACTGTCACCATCATCGTCATCGTCATCACCAGATTCATCCTCACCCTCATCCTCACCGACATCGTCATCGTCATCATCATAATCAGCATCAGAGTCGTTATCACCGTCATCATCATCCTGATCACAATTTCATGATCATCATCATTGTCTTCATCATTCATACTATCATCATCGTCATCATCACCACAATCATTATCGTCATCGTCGTCACCATCCTCGACATCATAATCGTCATCATCGTCATCATCAACACCACCGTCACCACTATCACATACCATCGTGACCGTTACACACTCGCGCACTCATGTTGAGTCAGCCTCGAGCGGGAGCCCCGTCTCAGAGTGAATCGTGGGGAAGTCTCGGGCGGAAGCCCCTCCCGATGGGGCCCCCACCTCCATGTACGAATCTGGGGCAGCCATCGGAAAACAAAGCAAGGACGCAGGCTTGGTGACGCCTTGGGGCCTGAACCCCGAGGAAGTCTCGAGCGGGAACCTCGTCCGTGAGTGAGCCGCGAGGAAGTCTCTGGCGGGAGCCCTTCCCTCTGCGGTCCCCTCCTCCATGTTCGACTCCGAGGCGGCCATCGGCACACCGTGTAAAAACACAGGCTTGGTGACACCTGGGGGTCTGAATTCCGAGAAAGTCCCAAGCGGGAGCCTCGTCCGTGAGTGAATCGCGAGGATGTCGCGAGCGGGGACTCGTCCCTGTGGGGTCCCCGCCTCCATGTTCGAACATGAGGCGGCCAATTGAAAGTCCTTGTGCAAACACATGTTTGGTGACACCTGGAGCCAGGACCCCGAGGCCGTCTCGAACAGGAGCCCCGTCCGTGAGCGAGCCGCGAGGAGGTCTCCAGCGGGAGCCCTTCCCTGTGCGGTGCCCATTCCCAGACTCGAGTCCGAGGTGGTCCTCGGGAAGCCATGTAAAAACAAAGGCTTGGTGACACCCGGGAGCCTGGATTCCGAGGAAGTCTTGAGCGGGAGCCTCGTGTGTGAGTGGAGCGCGGAGAAGTCTCTGGCGGGAGATCCTCGTTGTGCGGCCCCCGCGTCTCTGTTTGCATCCGGGGCGGCCAGCAGAAAACCATACAAAGACTCAGGCTTGGTGACGCTTCGGGGCCTGAATCCGAGGAAGTCTCGAGCGTGAGCCTCGTCCCCGAGCAAACTGAATGGATGTCTCTGGCGCTCACTCTGAATAAATCGCGCGGAAGTCTGGAGCGGGAGCTTCTCCCTCTGGGATCCCCTCCTTCATGTTCGAAACCGAAGCGGCCATCAGATATCGAGAGGATGTCTCGGCCGCTCGCGTGCAACTGAATCGCGGAGAAGTCTCGAGCGGGAGCCCCTCCCTGTGGCCCCCCGCTTCGTGTCACTCATCCGAGGCGTCCAGCGTGACCCCTGTGAAAGCACAGGGTTGGCGACACTTGGGTCCTGAATTTCGAGACAGTCTCGAGCGGGAGCCTCGTTCCTTGGTCCGTCCTGTGTCATCCGATATCCGATGCGGCCATCTTCCATCAAGCGTGCAAGCGCCGGCAAGGACCAGGAGATACCAGACAGGAAAACAGAGCCTCCGCAGTCTTGAGGACGACGAGGGGGCTCTTTTCAAGATTAGTTCTGGAGGTTCTCGCGCGGGGTCCTACCGTCCTTGGTCTCGCTCGGACGTGTGCACTTTTCCTCGGCGGGGAGTATTCAGGAGCATCCTGGATCATCCTGCACGAAAAAAGCCGCGCACGAAACCAAACAAAAACACAGGGAATGGACGTCCAGGCGATGGCCAGTGTTGGAGTATTCAGGAGCATCCTGGATCATCCTGCGAAAAAACCACGCACGAAACCAGACAAAAGCACAGGGAATGGACGTCCGAGCGATGGCCAGTGTATGAGTACTCCAGACTTCGTTATAGAAGGGACGGGGGTCTGGACCCTCCAAGACAAGCCATTCCAGACCTCCCCCGTGGGAGACCCCTCCAAAACATCGTCCCCAGACCCCCCAGGCCCTCCAAGATAGCCTGGAAGAGACCCCCCCTCGAAATGAGACCCCCCTCCCTTTGTTACGCTCCTCTGCGCGCTGCCAGCCCTTCCTCCTCCTCCTCCTCCTCCTCCTCCTCCTCCTCCTCCTCCTCCTCCTCCTCCTCCTCCTCCTCCTCCTCCTCCTCCCCCTCCTCCTTCCTCCTCCTCTCAAGCAATTTGGGCGCAGGCAGGTTTGAGGAGGCCCCGACAGCCCCCGACCCACGCGCCCAATCCTCGGGGCTTCCTCGCAGCGCTTGAGGGACTCAGACCAAGGGCCAAGCCACAGCCCGAGGTCTGCGACCAACACCGAGGTTTCGTTCTAGCAATGGTCCAGCTGTGGTCTCGCTGCGGCCAGTGCCGCAGGTGTGAGTGGAACTCCATCATCATGAAGCAGGGAGGCAGTTGTTCGGCCTGCGGCACACGCATTATGTTGTACAAGCCAGCGGGCCGCAAGGTTCACTGGGAGGATGAAGAGCAGACTGAGGCTGCCCCCGCCGCAGCGCCTGACCACGCCAAGGGCGGGCGCGCACGCAGCCACTCCCCGCGAGGCGGACGGCGCAGCGGCAAGGGGTACGGGGCCAAGGGCAACACCAGCTCCACCGTCACCAACCTGCTGGAGCAGGCCGCCCAGGCCACGAAGGATGCGGCGTTGCAGGCCGCACTCAAGCAGCAGATCGAGAAGATCAGCATCCAGGCCAAGGTAGACTCAGAGGCTGCAGTGTCGCCAGCAGAAGTGCTTCGCAAGTCCGAGGGGGCCTGGAAGAACGCGGAGCACCACCACTCGCAGTGCGTCGACAACGTGCTGCGACTGAGGCAGAGCCTCGAGGCCGCCGAGGCCAAGGAGGCACGTGCGGCCGTGGCCTTGGCGCAGGCGGCAGCGGCCAAGAAGACGGCAGCCCAGGCCGTCGCTCGGGCCGAGGGAGTGGGGCCCCCCCCGCCGACCTCGGCCGCGTCGGCAATGTTCACGGTGGAGTGGGATGAGGCGCTGTTCAGCTCGCTGGATGACATGGTCGAGGCGGGCGACTGCTCCAAGGAGGAGCGGGCAGCCCTGGAAGCGCTCCACAACCAGCTCAAAGGGGTCAAGTCGGACCTCAACGGCAAGGAGAATGAGATCAAGGCCTGGCTCGACAGGGCCAAGCAGATGAAGAGTGACATCCACGACAGGATGAAGAAGAAGAGGAAGGGCGATGACGGAGGAGCGAAGGCAGCGACAGGTCAGCAGGCCAAGCCGCCTGCTGCGGGAGGAGAAGCAGCAGCCAGCCAGAGCTCCGCCACGGAGACGGCCCAGACCGACGACAACAAGGCGGCGTCCGAGCAGATCGAGGAGGATGCGAAGAAGCTGTCGGCGGCAAAGTTCACGGCCAAGGCTGAGGCCGCAGCGGCCAAAGCGGCCACCAAGGCCCAGGCCAAAGGAGGAGGCGATGGTGACGCCTCTTGACTATCGGATGCAGATGACGACAACCACACTGAGGGCATCACGACATTGTTCTACGCGAATGTCACAGCCTTCACCGCCAAAGTGTGGCAATACCTTCAATTAAATTACTGCAAGTGTTCCTTTTGGGCCTGGGCAGAGACTCGCATCCACGACGAGTCGGAGCTCAGGGATTGGGACAAGAAGGCTCGGGACGCACATCTCCGCCTTCACTACAATGCGGCGCGCCCGTCGGACAAGGCTGCGGCAGCAAGGT